CGCTATAAAGGATGTGCTCCTTCGACTTAACTTTTCAATGGCAGACGCCAGGGGGCAGTGCTATGATGAGGCTGCTAACATGGCAGGTTGTAAAACCGGGGTAGCCTCGCTAATCCAAATGGAAGCACCAAGGGCTGTTTTCACACATTGTTATGGTCATAGCCTACAGCTAGCTATAAGTGATACAATGAAAGGTATCAAAGAAGCAAGGGATGTTTTTGACATTATACAAGAAATAACAAAAATAACAAAGTTAATTAAGTACTCTCCTAAGCGCAACACACTCATGGACAAACTAAAACGACTCCTGGCTCCCGACACCCCAGGTTTCCGAGTCCTCTGTCCAACACGCTGGACGGTTTCCGGCAATTCCTTGCAAAGCGTCTTGGATAACTACGACGTGTTGCGATCATTATGGCAGACATGTTTAGACGAAAGGGTACTTGAGTCCGATGTTAAGGCAAGACTCATTGGAGTTCAACATCAGATGGAAACCTTCTCGTTTTATTTCTGTACGAAAGCAGCATGTCTTGTTCTAAAAATGACAGACAATGTTTGTTTCGAAAACATTGCAGCATGGATACATGTCAGCGTCTGATGGCCAGGAGTTAGCCAAAGGTACATTACTGGCACTCGAAAAGATGAGATCAGACACTGAGTGGGATGCATTTTGGAATTTCGTTTGTCAGGAAACCACAAAACTAGGACTTCCAACTCCCACTTTACCATGATAGAAAAGAAGACCTTGCAAAGCGTCTTGGATAACTACGACGTGTTGCGATCATTATGGCAGACATGTTTAGACGAAAGGGTACTTGAGTCCGATGTTAAGGCAAGACTCATTGGAGTTCAACATCAGATGGAAACCTTCTCGTTTTATTTCTGTACGAAAGCAGCATGTCTTGTTCTAAAAATGACAGACAATGTTTGTTTCGAAAACATTGCAGCATGGATACATGTCAGCGTCTGATGGCCAGGAGTTAGCCAAAGGTACATTACTGGCACTCGAAAAGATGAGATCAGACACTGAGTGGGATGCATTTTGGAATTTCGTTTGTCAGGAAACCACAAAACTAGGACTTCCAACTCCCACTTTACCATGATAGAAAAGAAGACCTGGTAGATTTGAGTATGGCACAGCCGGACCAGTATATCCAGCCACGCCCGAATGTCACTTTCACCGAATATGGAATGAAATCTTTGAAACAGCAAAGGAGGGTATCAAACGACGTTTCGACCAGCCTGGTTACCAAGAGCTTAAAAACCTCGAAAATTTATTACAAAAGGGTGCAAATGGCGACACGATCGAAGAAGAGATTCAAACAGCGGTCAAGACTTATGATGGTGATTTCGATGCCCGCTATTTGCTGGTGCAGATGACGTATGTAAAAGCGCAGTTGGAAGCCCACAGTGGAAAGGCTACGTGGAGGGATGTTCTGGGCTTAGTGGAAAAATGTCTATTCCACAGAGAATCATCGTATCAGAGGTAGTTAAAGTCCTCAAGTTACTGTTGCGGATTCCTGCCACTAATGCCATCGGTTTCAGCCTTGCGCCGTTGCAAAACGTACCTGAGATCGACGATGAATCAAGCGCGCTTAAATCACTGCTTGCTGCTGCACATACACAAAGAGCTTACTGACTATCGATCTGATAGAAGTCGCCAACGAATTCGTAAACAATGAAAACAGGCTGCGGGTATTTGATCGTTTTAGGAATCCTTAGGTATTGTAGAAACATACACCGATTTACAGTTTAAAGTTTCCATAAACGTATCACATTTTATTTTATTGGCCACAACTGATAGCAGAAAATTATTTGATAGATACGGGACGCAAGAAAAAAATGTGAGAAAAATGCGATCCCGTCCGACTTTTTTCGTATTACCTTATCTGTCATAGATACAACGTTAATTACCCAGCAGAAATATCTGCGGGTGGATAACAAAGCTGAAGGTGAAAAAGGTGCTCAGAAATCGTAATGTCAAGCCTATAAGCTGTAACCGCAGCATGAACGTATCTCCACCGCATATTATCCTATTCGAAAGAAAATCAGATCTTTCACGGACAAACTAGGTTCCGCTAACACAACCTTCAATGTTTCCAACCTACTCTACCCTAGGGTAAACAGACACTAATTCATGAGTTGCTCTACGATTTCGTGTGTGAAATTTGTATCAAAGACCTTATGGTTTGGCCCTGACGACTTGAGGTTTACCTCAATACCCAACGGATGGGAGCCATAAGGGATAATCCCGGGTTAACGCTAGTTAGACATACCTACGTGAAGGGATGTCGATTGGTCTGGAAGGTGGCGTTTTTCTTTTTGGGGACAACCAATGACGTCTCCTACCCGTGTTAGTCTAAGAATACAATAAGGCTTCTCTGGCAAGTTTCTTGGGAGACACTTCTTATCTTCGATATTATCCAAGTCAGTAGCCTTAAGGTAGTTAAGCCGAAAGAACGAATCAGTTAATCGCAACCACCCAACTAGGGGCGGGGGGTTCTTCAGGGATCAGTATAAAGATAGCAGGGGTTTTTTTCTTATGAAAGTCTACTTCTTGCTTTAAATAAAATTACAAAAACTAGCAACTAGAAAGATAATAATTAAATATGTTTAAATTCTGTGTTAAAGTCGGAATTTAGCGCCTCTTTTTTCTTTGTTAACATCAGGCCTTAAGATCTAAATGAAAAGTTACATGGCTGAAATTACCTGGAAAAGTGGGTTGTCTACTTGCGGCCAAATTATTGGGGGGGGGGGGGAGCTTTCTCCGCCGGGCCCGGTTCTTCATCTGTAAACATACTCCCAAAGCATGTCATTGTCAAGTGTCGATGACTATTTATCATATCACTACCTGCATAGTGTTATTTACGTTTCTTACATCTTTGGTGGTATGCGACTTTAACTTGTAATATGCGGCTAGTCCATAATAAAAAAGAAACGTTATCGGCACAAAACTCTTTCTGTGTATTGTTTATTTGAATCAGTGTGCAAACGGCTGAAGTCACATAAATCTATTACAAAATGAAGACGGGTATATTAACGTTTATTGTCTATTAGAATCAATGTAGGCAAGGGTCTGATACAATTCCCAGAATGGGAAACATGAATAGGGGATCAATGTCGTATATATTACGATCAGCTCTATGCAAGAAGTGGAAGATTTAGTGTATCGAAGTCGCTCAGGTATAAACTGTAATTATATTCCACAAAATTGTGTCCTGTGTATGTCCAGCTCAATTACTAAAAACATTGAAACAATTTATATAGGGTAATGCGTGACTGAATGAAAAGGGGCCTTCAGTACATTACAATATCGCGCTTTAATGCTTCAGTAACCTAAAACATAGATTGTTATGGGCCTTAAATAAGATTATTTCTTTACCAAAATACTGAAGGATGATTTTCTATAGACTTACTTGTGTAAAATGTCTTTTGAAAATAAAAACAAGTCATCTGCGATGAATATATTCCTGACCAAACCAAGTTTTAAGCCTATTTGTACGTGTCAAATTGCACATTTTTATGCTATTTCTGACTATTATATTTAATTGAAAGTCTGTTACATCCATTGTCCCCTGGGATCTGAAGAATTAAAGTCACCCAGTCACCTTGTGGATAACCATATGTCTATTTCAAGTTGTGAAAGAATTCGTTAAACGGCGTGTATGACAGATCCGTCGACACCTCGTCAATTACATGAAGTCTCATGTAAATTACAGTTAACCTTAACATACGAGGACTGGCTGAAAAGTTGTAAAACTCAAACAGATAGACCAATTGGGTTGAAACATACTTTTGTCACCAACAAGTACAATCATTGAATGAATCATAGACATAAGAAATGCAATTGTATTGTTATTATTGTCTTCGTAACAGACAGCCATCATTGACACGCAATTGAAAGGACTGATTCCAACACAGATACATGCCGACATGGTCTCCAGTTTAGGATTGATGCCCCTTCTTTTTCCACGGTAAAGATTAATACCCCCGTCAGACCGGGGTGGCGTCCTTACTGCGACGCTACGGCGACGGAAAATGGTCCCATAAGCGTGGTAAAAGCGTGGTGGAAACGCCAGATATCGTGTTGTGGTCTCCATGGTCGCCGAATCACGGCGTTTGTTTTGAGCATGTACAAAACAAACGCCAGGGTTCTGCGATCTGACCTGAAAAGCTGTAAGAACACGACTTTTTTCAAGTTTGCATTTTGGGGTCGCTGTACGGTCGCAGCAGCGCAGAAAGGACGCCACTCCGGTCTGACGGGGGCATTAAGAAGTCGGTTGCGGAATTGAAGCGATCGAGGCAGTAACCATTCAGGAAAACATTACCCGGGTGCATAACATGGCGATGGCTAATCGACGATTGACCTCTCAACACATTGCCAGTGCTGTGGGCATCTCTCTCATGAGAGGGTTGAGCACATTATCGCCAACGAGTTAGGAATGAGAAAAGTTATTATTATTTGGTCTACTTGAGTCTTTCCAAGTAGTGTATAGAGTCAACTCGTTGCACTGGTCTATTACATCAGCTTCTCCACGATTTGATAAAACTATAATTGCAACTCTAAATGTGAATTCTGGTGAAATATCCATATTAATTCATAAATGACCACCCTCTCACCCTCTCCAGATTAACTAACCTAGATAATGGCGTTAAACGCCATGTCTAGTATACACAGAAACATGAGTCGTCGGTGTCTTGCTTCTTTGATTTTCAGACAGTTTGCGAATATTGTTGCGAGTTTCGTATTTCAAGGGCTATTTTCGCCTGTGCGCGCCACGTTTTGTGAGGTTATTTTCATTTACTATTCTCATTTACCTTTAATTTTAGTTTAGCTTTTATTTTAGCTGGCACTGATTAAAACTAAATTCTTAAAACACAAAAAACAAAAATTACATTGTATTCCAACCCAACTGTTGGGGCCTTCATTAACCACAACCATTTCACATATTCTAATCTCTAAATAGGAAATGAACACACAAAATTATAAATATACTTACCACAACACAAATGATTCTTGAATGCCCGTCTGAACTTGACTGACATGGCGTTGTAGAGGATTGGATTAATGGCACTGTTGATGTAGATCATGGACCGGGAAAAGAGAAGAAACCACAAGTCCATAAATTTATGTTTGGCGAACGAGTTATAGACCACCATGACTCGATATGGCATCCATAGAGTGGCAAATACTAACACAACCACAAATAACATTCGTACAACCTGAAAATATATAACAATTTAACAAAATAACTGTAGGGGGGCTTGTATCCAGATAACACTTGGGATGTTCGCCTAGCTAACTAATTATTAGTAATTAATACATCATGGTAAATATTTCATGCATGGTGGCAAAGAAGCAAAACCAAACAAGAACAACACTTGGGCCATTAGTCGCTGATTGTTGTTTGCATCTGTCGGACAATATATACTTTTTCACGGTGTAATCCACCGATTACTTAAATATGCATTATGCAAGAGCAAAATCTGCTTATTACAAGTCTTTCTTTAGGCCTGAAATGTTATCTAAATTATCAATTAGACATTAATTAACTTATCCAGACCATAATAAACCCTCGATGTCAAGGCTAGCCTTCGATGTTAGCTGGATTAGATTCCTATATGCCGCTTAACGGTCATTGATAATTAAATCAAAACAGTGGATAATCGAGACTATGCTGTTTATATTAATGATTTTAGTAATGGTGACCGAGACTATGCGAAAATTTCAGCCGCTTCGTTCTCGGCTCATAGTGGATCAATTTGACTGAAATTTTCAGCAAATTACCTTTACACTATCTAGTTTTTAACTATTATAGCGAGAACTGCCATCTCTTTATTAGGGTGACCCATGTACTCACAGAAATACAGTCCACCGCTGATAGTTCGAGACTACCACTGAAGCGTGCACATTCGCCGTGCCGAGACCAACTTTCTGACAGTATGATACTATAAATAGCCACGGCACGTGCAATTCTCTACAAATCTATCAACTATTACAGCCGTAAAAAATTTATTGTTGACGATTTTGAATAGCAGTAAAATTAAGCTTCTTGGTTATTACAGCAGATTTAGAAATTACGTTCGTTTCATTTTTTAAATCGCTTTATCATTAACTGTACCGTTAAGAGCGGCATCTTTTGGTATAGTACAAATAATATCTCTGAATCACTCGGGTTAGACAGGAACATGATACTAGCAGTAGTTTCATTTTACTTTTACAAGCTTCTTAAAACGATTGTTGAGCTACCTAACGTGCTTATTTCTAAATTCAATTTCTTGTTCTAGCTTTCTGTTATGTTTCGTAAAAAAGTAGTCTTGATTATCCCGACCTGTCAATCACACGTAGAATGGTCGATAGACTGGTTAAGCGAGACTAATTTCAAAACAAGGGCACGTAACCTATCTTTTACTCAAAAGTGTCTGGATGTTATGGACGACTCTTGGAACCAGTTTTCAGTCTATTATTTATACATGATTAATGGTCATAGCTTATTAAGTACAACATGATCGTTTATTTAGTGACTATAATTGTGTGAAACTGATTTGAGGCGTGGCATATATATAAATATTGTGGCGTAATTGTCGAGATATATGGAGATATTTATTTATGGTGGGTCACCCTATCTTTATCTTATCTCCCATAATGTATCTTTAACATTTAATTAGGAAATCAAAATATCTGCCGTAGATAATATTTCGGGTTGGATTAAAAGATGCCAATCAAAAAACTTCAGAGAAAATCGTAGATAGCGCTAGCTTGTATATATCATTTTTTGTCCCCCGCCTTTCGAAGAAACCAGGGGACTATTAAAATGAGTTCGTCCGTCTGTCTGTCTATCCGTCACTTTTTGGGAAACAATAACTCTCCTTCTAATTGAGCTAGAATGTTGAAACTTGGAGTGGGTGTTTATTAGGTCAATGCCTTGATGACGTTCGAAGATAAGATGGTTGATGCTTTGGAACACGATAACTTTAGTTCTAATTAAGTGAGAGTGATGAAACTTGATGTATAGTTTCATGGCATCAACACCTTGACTAAGTTCGATAACGAGCATTTTCTGCTCAGGGTTAGCGGAGCGTTAAGCAATTTGATCGGTTGATGGAGTTCGAAGATGAGAATTTTCTTCTTAGGGTAAGCTGAGATAAGCAATTGGATTGGTTGATGCTTTGGGACACGATAACATTAGTTCTAATTAAGTGAGAGTGGGGACACTTGGTGTATAGTTTTATCACATCAGTACCTTGACTAAGTTCGACAGTGAGCGTTTTCTGCGAAGAGTAAGCAGAGCCATAAGCAATTGGATTGATCGATACTTTGGAACACAATTACTCTCCTTCTAAATGAGGTAGAATGTTCAAACGTGGTGTAGGCTTTCATTGGGTGAACAGTAAGCAGATATAAGCAATCTGATTGGTTGATGCTTTGGGGCACGATAACTTTGGTTTTCATTAAGTGAGAGTATAGATTCATTATATCATTTCCTTGACTAAGTTCGATGATGAGAATTTTCTGATTGGGCTAAGGAGCGATAAGAAATTTGATTGGTCAAAATTGTAGATGTTCATCAGGTGAATGTCTTGACTGAGTTCAAGGATTAACATTTCGAGCTAACGCTAAGAAATTTCATTGGTCGATGCTTTGGGACAAAATAACTTTGATTCTATCTGATAAAGAGTGATGAAACTTAGTGTATAGTTAATAACCAGTTTGATTGTTTGATACTTTTGAAAACAATAAATGTGCGATTAATTGATATGTGTCATCTATTTATTTTGGGATTTCGGCGGGGGGCACCAGCCTCACTGTTGGCTTGTATATTTTAAAATCGTATCTCTGTAACTACTGAACGGAATTGAATCATTGCTGGATTGATATTTAGATTTTTAAACTTTCACAATATTGTAGTTTGCGAAGAATTACATTCTTTTTCCTGGTGAAACTCATAATGGCTTATCCGATACTGACTTATCAAACGATAAACATTCTCAATGTCAATAACCCTTGTGAAATTCAACTGAGAACACGGATCTTCAAGCATTGCCATCGAGATTTATTATTCGGTATCAGATATTTAGTAAGGTTTTAATCATGTCGTTAACAAGTCATAACAAATGTTAATTAACGGAGCTAGGTCGCTAATATTTAGGACCTAGAAATTGACACAAATGCGTCACAACGCATATAATAATGTAATATGAATGGGCAGTGTGAAGTTAGCTCGATTTTCGTTATTCGTTTTTCGATATCGGCGAATAACGAAACTCGAGCTACTCGTTTTTCAATATTGGCGAATAACGAAAAACAACTACTTGTTTTTCGATATTCAAACTTGAATCTCAAAAAAGCAGATTTAATGGAATTACATCCACAGATTATCTCCAAAACACATTTGATTAAATCAGTTTTGTAAAGCGAACAAAAGATATCATTACTGAGGATGCCTGAGCAGTGGATTCACATAAAAACTACTCTTTCTACTTGTTTTTTGATATTGGCGAATGTCGAAAAACAAGCTACTCGTTTTTCGATATTCAAACTCGAATCTCAAAAATGCAGATTTGATGGTTGCATATCTACAGAATGTCTCCAAAACACATTTGATTAAATCAGTTTTGTAAAACGAACTAAAGATATCATAAATAAGGATGCCTGAGCAGTGGATTCACATAAAACTGATATTCCTCCTTGTTTTTTGATATTGGCGAATCTCGGAAAGCAAACTACTCGTTTTTCGATATTCAAACTTGAATCTTAAAAAAGTAGATTTAATGGATGTACGTCGACAGAAGGTCTCGAAACACATTTCATTAGATCAGTTTTGTAAAACGAACTAAATATATCATTAATGAGAATGCCTGAGCAATGGATTCACATAAAAACTACTCATATTTTATCGTATTTTATCAAATGTGTTTTGGAGAAATTCTTTAGATATACATCCATCAAATCTGCTTTTTTGATATTAGCCAATATTGACAAACGAGCTACTCGTTTTTCGATATTCAGGCTTGAATCTAAAAAAAGCAGATTTGATGAATGTATATCTAAAGAATTTCTCCAAAACACATTTGATAAAATTCGTTTTCTAAAACGAACTAAAGATATCATAAATGAAGATGCCTGAGCAGAGGATTCACATAAAACTGATATTTCTCCTTGTTTTTTGATATTGGCTACTCGTTTTTCGATATTCAAACTTTAATGTCAAAAAAGTAGATTTAATGGATGTACATCGACAGAATGTCACCAAAACACATTTGTTTAAATCAGTTTTGTAAAACGAACTAAATATATCGTAATAGAGGATGCCTGGGCTGTGTATTCACATAAAAACTGCTCTTTCTCCTTGTTTTTTTATATTGGCGAATCTCGAAAAACGAGCTATTCAGGCTTGATTGTCAAAAATACAGATTTTAATGTATATCTACAGAATGTCTCCAAAACACATTTGATTATATAAGTATTCTAAAACGAACTAAAAATATCATAAATAAGGATGCCTGAGCAGTAGATTCACATAAAACTGATATTTCTCCTTGTTTTTTGATATTGGCGAATCTCGAAAAACGAGCTACTCGTTTTTCGATATTCAAACTTGAATCTCAAAAAAGTAGATTTAATGTCTCCAAAACACATTTGATTAAATCAGTTTTGTAAAACGAACTAAATATATCGTAATAGAGGATGCCTGAGCAGTGTATTCACATAAAAACTGCTCTTTCTCCTTGTTTTTTTTATATTGGCGAATCTCGAAAAACGAGCTACTCGTTTTTCGATATTCAAACTTGAATTTCAAAAAAGCAGATTTAATGGAATGACATCTACAGAATATCTCCAAAACACATTTGATTAAATCAGTTTTGTAAAACGAACTAAAGATAGCATTAATGAGGATGCCTGAGCAGTAGATTCACATAAAAACTACTCTTTCTACCTGTTTTTGATATTGAGGCTTGAATCTCAAAAAGCAGATTTGATGGATGTATATCTACAGAATTTCTCCAAAACACATTTGATTACAAATACATTTTCTAAAACGAACTAAAGATATCGTAAATGAGGATGCCTGAGCAGTGGATTCACATAAAACTGCTCTTTCTCAAAAAAGTAGATTTAATGGATGTACATCGACAGAATGTTTCCAAAACACATTTGATTAAATCAGTCTTGTAAAACAAACTAAATATATCGTAATAGAGGATGCCTGAGCAATGTATTCACATAAAAACTGCTCTTTCTTCTTGTTTTTTGATTTTGGCATTCAGGCTTGAATGTCAAAAATACAGATTTTAATCATGTATATATACAGAATGTCTCCAAAACACATTTGATTATATAAGTATTCTAAAACGAACTAAAAATATCATAAATGAGGATGCCTGAGCAGTGGATTCACATAAAATTGATATTTCTCCTCGTTTTTTTTTATATTGGCGAATCTCGAAAAACGAGCTACTCGTGCAAAACACATTTGATTAAATCAGTTTTGTAAAACGAACTAAATATATCGTAATAGAGGATGCCTGAGCAGTGGATTCACATAAAAAAACTCTTTTTTCTTGTTTTTTGATACTGGCGAATGTCGAAAAACGAGCTACTCGTTTTTCGATATTCAAACTTGAATCTCAAAAAAGCAGATTTAAAGGAATTACATCTACAGAATATCTCCAAAACACATTTGATTAAATCAGTTTTGTAAAGCGAACTAAAGATATCATTAATGAGGATGCCTGAGCAGTGAATTCACATAAAAACTACTCTTTCTACTTGTTTTTTGATATTGGCGAATGTCGAAAAACAAGCTACTCGTTTTTAGATATTCAAACTTGAATCTCAAAAAAGCAGAATGTCTCCAAAACACATTTGATTAAATCAGTTTTGTAAAACGAACTAAAGATATCATAAATGAGGATGCCTGAGCAGTGGATTCACATAAAACTGATATTTCTCCTTGTTTTTCGTTATTCGCCAATATCGAAAAAACGAAAATCGAGCTAACTTCACACTGCCATATGAATGTATATAAACTGATTAACATTCAATCATTTCTGCCTTTATTGTAATTTCTAATCAGTTAAGTTCGGCGTAATACGCCTGAAATCTGAATCGAATGGCTATTTCCAGAGACTGGTTATACCAATCTACACCGAAATTATTTATTGCGCATGCTCTCTAGATAAGAAGATAGCGTCACCGTTTGACATGACTTATGCAATATGTCTAGCCTCGTTCTTCGAGCCCCTTCTTACAAATGACGCTGAAACGCATTATGGTACACGATTCGTATACCAATGGTAAAATGTTTATCTTGTCTTAAATATTGGATATTGGAAGCCCACCTTTTTTCCGGTAAGATCACAACATCAATGTGGATTTAAATTGACAAATAATTCGTGTTTTCAATGTCGAAGAATTCGGATGATACTGAGTTAGAGACTTAGCTACTTTAAATATTCCTGTCTTCTTACACAAATCAACGACAGTAAGCAGATGTCATGTTAATGATCTCACTACATCACCATGACCTAGGAATTTACAATCACGTTATTACAATCAACAGTTTTCTTTCTCTTTTTTGTCTCTCTCTTTCGAAGAAAGCAGAGGACTATTAAAATGGGTTCGTTCGCCCGTCTGTCTGTCTTGTCAGTCACACTTTTTGGGACACAATACCTCTCCTAGTTGAGCTAGAATGCTCAAACTTGGTGTAGGTGTTTATTAGGTCAATGCCCTGATGGAGTTCGAAGTAGACCATTTTCTGCTTAGGGTAAGCAGAGATAAGCAATTTGATTGGTTGATGATTTGGGACACGATAACTTTAGTTCTAATTAAGTGACAGTGATTAGACTTGGTGTATAGTTTCATTACATCAATGCCTTGACTTAGTTCGATAATGGTGTAGGTGTTTATTAGGTCAATGCCCTGATGGAGTTGCCTGTGTTTGTTTCTGGTAATGATTGTATGTGTTATTCTGTTATGGTTTTTGTTGTTTTAGTTGAATGTTTTGATGATTGTGTACACAAACGTTTTATTGGTTAATACATATATGACCTTCTTTTAATATATACCCGTACAACCCAACAATATAAGTAGATTAGCTGTGTGATCACCAATAGGATAAGTGACATCGGGTGTTCTAGAAAGAGTACATGAGCCCCGTCGTTAATAATATGGTCTTGGATTCACTGGATTTTTCGCATGGTTGTTATGTTCTACAATAACAGCACTACATATATTCATCTAAATAAAACTGCGTGAAAGGCACTATGAAATGAAATGGGGTTTAACGTCCTACAGTTCTGCTCCGAACTGGGCTAATGAAGACGGGAAAGGCACCAAGAACCCTTTATTATAATCCCAAGTAACTATCTGAATAAACCTCTGGGTAACTCTTAATGCTGTTGTTTTTATACGCCCACATTTTCATGTGGACGTATATTGTCGTCGCGACGTCCGTCCGTCGTCACAATTCATATCCGTTTTTAACGAATCTCCAAAAGATCTCGGTTCCTTTCGATATTGGCATGTATCGGATCGAAACTTCATGGATTATGGCCCCTGATTGTACGAAAAATCATCACGTTTTTAGCTTGTGGGTACTCTAGAGGTCAAAATTTTCATCCGATTTTGATAATCTTGATATACATGTTTATAACAAAAAGATCTTGGTTCCTGTCGATATTCCTGAATAATGGCCCTTGATTGTACGAAAAATCGCTTTTTGTTTAGCTAGTTTTCAATTCATCTCTTGCAAAATATGTGTTTATATCCCAAAGAGCTCGGTTCCTTTCCATATTCGCTCATATCAGAGCGTAACTCCCTGGTTAATGACTCGTTGTCGTTCCTTCATTTAAAGAGAATTGTCAACACAATAATGTAACATATTTCTAATCACGGTGTAATAAGATTGAGTTAGTTGTATTTATTCGGTGTCCTCCCAAAGAGGTTCCGGTCTCCTATATCAGTCAGTGTAATGTGAAGTCAGAGTGGATGGCCTATTAAAAGTGTAAAGATTTTGGCCTCTACTAAACCTGCTAAAACATTTCAGGTACAATATGCGTGATTTAGAGAAGCTAGATGTACTTCCTATAATAGTTCAAAAATAGATAATGAATGATATGAATATATTAACAATTTTAGTCAGATTACGTTATCTGTACTTGTAACAAAGTTATGAATGTTTGAAGTTTTGACAGAGATAGCTATATTCCTTATTGTCAAGTACCATTGACACCATAATCAACGAAATCTCGCTTGTCAGTCATTTTATGGACAGTATCTGGAATAACTGGAATAAGTCAGATATTTATAAGTATACTAGCAGGATACCCGACCTTG